AAAATTTATGATTTATAAGGTTTTCACATTTTAAACTTTTTTCAGATAGGGTTAAACATGCTTTGATATGTTATATCAGTTTATAATCCCACTAACAGTATATGAGAACTCAGTTTGTCTACACTTTTGCTAAGACTTAATATTGTAGCACTTTATTTTTGACAATTTGATGGATATGAAATGCAACCTAATTGGTTTTATTTGCATTTTCCTGATTGTTTTATAGATTAAGCATTTTTTTATGTTTAGTAGCCAATCTGCATTACCAAAGATCAGGCATCATTGCCATTACATCCTTCTGCAAAAGCAGAAACTCCATATAGACTCTGTCTTCTGTTATGTGTGCGTGCACATTTGATTATGAATGTCTTTGAAATAATGCAGCTTTTCTTTTGGTGTCTACTGATATGACTGCATCATTTTTCTCCTCTAATCTGTTAGCGTGGCAAATTATATTAATAGAGTGCCTAACATTAGGCCATCTTTACATTCCTTGTAAGAATCAAAATTGATAAGTATATAATACTTTTAAAACATTTCTTAGATTGTTTTACATTATTTTATTCTTTGTCTCTGTGTCTATAGTCATAGATATTTTCAGATTAAAGCAGTTTTTACTATTTCCACTGCTACTATTCTGCTCCAATCCACTTCTGGCAGGTTCAACTGACAAAAGCTCCTAACTGATTTCCCTGTCTCTACTCTAGTTCTTTATAATCTGTTCTCTACAAGCTGCCAGTGAGCTTATATAGTCAACCCTTCACATCTGTGGATTTTACATTTGCAAATTGAGCCAGCCTCAGATTGAAAATATTTAGTAAAAAATGAATGTTTTCATTGTTCTTCAGGTTTTTTTTTTAAAGATTTATTTATTTATTTGAGAAACAGAGGGAGAGATCTTGGTTCACTCCCCAAATGGTTGCAATGGCTGGAGCTCTGCCAATCTGAAGCCAGGAGCCAGGAGCTTCTTCTGTGTCTTCCACATGGGTGCAAGGGCCCAAGGACTTGGACCTTCTTCTACTGCATTCCCAGGCCATAGCAGAGAGCTGGATCAGAAGAAGAGCAGCCATGACATGAACCAGCTCCCATATGGGATGCCAGCACCCCAGGCAGAGGCTTGCCCTACTATATAAAAAATATTTCTTTGCCATGGGTGCTGTGGCACAGCATGTTAAGCCACCATCTGTGGAACCAGCATCCCATATGGGTGCTGGTTAATGTCCTGGATGTTCCACTTCCAATCCAGCTCTCTGCTAATGCACCTGAGAAAGCAGTGAAGGATGGCCCAAGTCCTTGGGCCCCTGCACCAATGTAGGAGACCTGAAGAAAGCTCCTGGCTCCTGGCTTTGGACTGGCCCAGCCCTGGCCATTGTGGTCACTTGGGGAGTAGACCAGTGGATGGCAGATCTCTCTCTCTCTCTCTCTCTCTCTCTCTCTCTTCTCTCTCTCTCTCTTGCTCTCTCTGTAACTGCCTTTCACATAAATAAATAAATCATTTTTAAAAGATTTATTCATTCAGCTAAAAGAGTCAAAGAGACTGTGACTAGGGTGGCAGTCCCAGTCTCTCACTTGGGTAGCAGGGACCTAAGCAATAGGGCTGCCTTCCACTGTTTTCCCAGGTGCATTGGCAGTTAGTAAGATTGTAAGCGGAGCCGCTGGGAATTGAACCTTGGCCCCTCTGCAACGCAAGAGTTGCAGGCGGAGTCCGATGAACAACATCCCCTATGCGTGAGTTCTA